AATTTTTTGTTGGAAATGATGGAGAATCGTATTCCAGGCGGGGGTGAAGAGTCTAGGGGGGGTCCAAATTTCAAGGATTTTGCTCTACGACCCATAGGAGCCGAGATATTTGCATTTTTTTGAAAATCGTGGAATACCTCCACTACTTTTATATGCTCCTGATACAAATTTCAATTTTATTGAAATTTTACCGTTTCAGATTTATCCAATTTCGGCGTGATGGCGTCATGCTAATTAATATAGGGTTAAATAAATAAACAAAATGTTCAATTATATTCATATAATCTTTTATTATCCCAAATTAACAATACATTTTTTATAATACTTAGTAATATTTATTATAGTTTCAAAATTTTACTGACATTTCCAGAATTATGAAATTTCCAGAGGAAATTTCATTGAAAAATGAATGAAATCACTAATTTTATTCCAATAATTCCATGAAAATCAATAAAATTGCACAATTAATCGATTTAATTTCCAATTAAATAATAACTTTCACGGTTTATTTCACGTAAATCGACTTCACTGTCACGATTCCTTGAGCTCGCCGCAAACAGCCTGGGAAATTTCAATTTTTTCCAGGACTGGAGATAAAAAGACCAACAAGGTAGTGATGGAAAGCGATTGGTCAGCAAGGGAGGGAAAATTTCCATTATCATCGAGCACACACGGGAATAGGAGTAGTTGAGAGAGAATGAGAAGAAAAACTCGACAATTCTGCCAACGATAGCGAAATGTAAAAGGGTCGGAACAACTACGTCCCTTCCTTGTATATATTGGCTTTTCTGGCTGAGGTGGTCGTAAATGTTAAACTGCGGCCAAAACAAGAAATCTGCGGACGACAGTATATTCAATACGGACCTTTGTACACGACGCACGAATAGCGAACCGATACACTTAGATATTCCTCCCGTTAATTTTCGAAATACCACTACGGGCCGATGGCAAAGTTCCTCACCCAAAGTTTCCTCTTGTCTTACGTCACCCTCCAATGTCTACTAATTGGTCTCTCAGAAGCTCTGCGTCGGGAACTAGTAGCTACTGCACAGAGTTGAGTAACTAACCGCAGCTTATTTAACAACAATTGTTCTGTCCAGTTTGATAGTCACTAGTCTGGAAAGTAATAAATTGTTAAACATTAATGAATTTTCATACTGATTCGTCCAGCGAAAAAAAAATGTTTAAGATCTTGTAAAAAAAAGATAATTATAGTTTTCATGGCCATTACAATTGTTTGTAATCATAATTCCTTCTTGAATTACAATTAGGAGATAACGGATATGATAATCCCAGAATAAATCCCGGAATTGTCGAAAAATTGAATTTATGAATGACGAAATTCAATGAAATTTTCGTAGAATTGTTGAAATATTCAAATACAGTTGTTCTATTGATTTTTATAATTTGTTATTAAATTATACTTCTCTTGCACTTACATTTCTTCCTCGTCATAAAAACAATTTCATAAAATCCTTCAACCCTTCTGCCGTATTTATTTATTCACTTGCACCCATATTCCAATCCAACTTAAATCCCGAAAATTAATTACAACACAGACAGCAATAATTTCTGCAACTACCGATAAATCTTAATTGGTTGCTATCTCAACCGATAAACCGCGGGAACCCGTCGAATTCCCCGGAACCCCCACGGACATCCCCGCAATTACCCGATGGTCATAATAAAAAAATAAATAAGAAATAGCATATCCTCCGGTCCGAATATATAAAGTATAAACCAAAGTGTACACCCACCCTCTGCCCATTAAACTCTACCCCCTGGAAGAATAAAAATAGAGGAGAAAAAAAAAAGACTATAAAAAAAAATATTGTACCCTCTGTGAAACTTGGCAGACTCTCCAAGCAGCCCCCGGGAACAGTTCCAGCAGCAGTTGGTGCAAGAGAAACGGCAAAATGGGGGTTTGGGCTGAGGCAATGAGGGTTAAAGCCATCAGGTATATGTCTGAAGACGAGAACACCCCAGGTTGATACCGAGAATCGTATATTTACTTATGAAACGTACTGTCTCATCGTTTCTCGTTAACCGTTATGAACGACATTGCCATTAATACACATACAGCGAAATTTGCCCAGGCGATAGGGGCCTTTCAGCCACACATCCCCCTCTATTAAAGATAACGTCTCTCGGTACGTTTTACCTTCATTTGGTACCCTTATATTTGCCATGTATATTCCCGTCTTGTTTCTCAAACTCGTCTCCATAAGCCCGCATATTCCTCATTTATGTGTACTCAAGTTAATAGATTGTCGAGTAACTTATGTCATTTTCGGGGGTTCGAGAGCTAGAGTGACTTGTGGAGCCGAAGAAATTATTCTCAAATTATTCGTTTATACGTCGAAATCGGTTAAATCGATTAAAGTTCCCATTGATTCGACTCATAAATGCAGATTACTTAAAAACCGACGAAATTGACTAAAATCTAACCCTAAATTAGTCATAATTTTTTTTCATATCTCTGCTAATGCAAATTCTCTAAATTCATCTATCAGACAGGAATGTATAATTCCTGAAGAATCCCCTCAGTTCCACAATTCACTCAATTCAATTGCGATATTCTCGTGCAATTAGCCAAGTCTATCGAGCCTCATCCCCGATTATCGACAATACGATACCGATATTCCTCATGCCTGCAAATTCTCCCTCGATCTATCAGCAAAACAAATAGCAAAACGAAAGAATCGCGGAGATTGAAAAAGCCGTAAATCATTCAAAGCCTCATTTGCAACTGAAACCTGTCCGGGGAATATGCTTCCCCTTTCGATTTCAATCAATTATTAATAACATTGTGTCGGCAGTAGACATCGTGACTAATTAATTCAACGAAATCCCTTTACATTCCACCCGATCATCATTTTTTCCGATGCCCTCATTCCCATTTGCTTTCTGTTTTTTTCGTATAGAATCTGTCTGCATGATATCATCCGTTCGTTTTACTCTCGTTCTTTTGTCCGGAAATGAATAATCCCTTAGGAAAATTATCCACCACTGAAATAACCGTTTCCCCTCTGTTTTATTTCCCTTTTTCTTCTATGCCATTGAGAAATACGAATAACTATGCGTCATTTCTTTTAATCCCGTCCAATAAGTCGCACGATTTTTAACAATTAAATTGGTTTTTAAAGCGACGAGAGAGACTCTAGATCGTTTAATAATCAACATTCAATATGAAAATTGGAAAATGAAAAATGGCAGGAACTCTTTCACAGTTGAATAAATCTGCAATGTATTAAACATTGACTCTGCGAAATATTCAATAAAAATCTTTGATTGATTCTCATTTTTAATTCACGGAGGACCTGAAGAGAAAACCGATTCCTTCACCCAATGAAATTTCCCAACCCTAAAAAATCCACAAATCAAAAACCCAAACATTTCCAAAGATTAACTCTCGACGAATAAATTTATTTCTCAGAAGTAAATGAATTTGGAATCAATTCATCTCATAAATACTCGATAATCTCGAATAATTCGAAGAACTAGTTGTCACTGAGGTTGAGAAATCGTGTGAATTTAGGGGATAAAAATAAATTATACATTTCCCTCACTCGTAAATTCAAGTTGTCGAATTCTTGTGCGGTTGGTTGTGTACAAAGGTAAGCAGTTTACTTGTGCAAATAAGCACAAGAACATCTCTCGAGGACATCCTCTCCTTTTTTTTCATTCAAACCCTTGCATATACCGTTTCTGTGTGCCACTCTACCCAGCAAATCGATTCCCTCCAATTTCATCTTATATACTATCACCAATACCAGTGTAATATAGAATGCGTTTACGTTACATCGTCTCTTTAGGGACATATACCCCTTAAACATCAAAGGAATCGATTTACCGTGTGTCGGATGGTCCATTTCATCCGGTGGAAATGCAAAAGGGAGAAGGATACATACAAATTGTTAGCGCACCTCTACCCGACCGATTGAAAATGATGGAATTTATTGTTAAACCGAGTGAGAGGGGGAGAATTTAAATTTCCTTGAGCTTTCCACAATTCGCGAATGCATACAAATTTATTTTCCAATTTTCATTATTGACGGTACAATATAATTACGATTTAATTATACATAATACACCATTATTATTAATAATTATTATGTAATAATAATGATTATTACTGTTATTATCAGTCAAATGTCTCAATTAATTATTAAAGGACATTCAACTAATTGATTGTAATTGAAGAGGTTGTCGCAAAAAAATCGCGAGTCAAATGATTCTCGAACGAAAAAGAGAAACTATTCAAAATTATTGGGGAATTGCTCCATTTATCGCGTGGTATTGCACCTAATACGTGACGCTCGATTAACTTCCGCCTCTTCAACATTTGAGCTCAATCGTAATTTTCTTTTTTCGACCCCCAGCATCCGTTTTCTTGAGATGCGCATTCGAGCGCATCTGCCCCAGTCTATCTGGAATAGCCGCGAGGGGCTGCAAATTCCCCGGAGGATTCGACCGAGGAATCGGTGACCCAGGAGAGGGTGAAGTAGTACTATTACACCAGGGGTTGAGATGAATACTACCGAGAGCAACGAGAAATCGTACGGAAGAATAACGGCACGTGATTTTGAGAAATCGCGATAATGGCGATTTTCGAGAGAAAATTGAATGGATAAATTGGAAATAGATATTAATTCCAAAAATGTAAGAAGAGAATACGAATAAAAATATACGGAATGAAAAAGGGACAATTGCGACATTTTGTCGAAAGATTGAATTGAAAAATTGAGAATTCAATTTTAAACGAATGAAAAATGAGACTCGATAGCGAATTGAAAATGTTTGTAACGTAAAACAGAGGAATTAACAAATATATTGAAATTGTATTGACTTACATTACTCCATCCCCCGTTCCGAAGATGTCCACAGCATTCTATCCATCCAGTCGCCAAAATACTCCACTGAAACAGTAAAAAAACAAAATGAATGTAATTTTATCTTTAAAGCCCTAAATTCATACACAAACTTCACAATCAATTCTATCTGTTATAACTAACCATTTATAATTAACAATTTAATCTTTTTACTTGACGTTTCCCAGAATTTCATTGAACTCTCATTGAATCTTCGGAATTCCTAATCAATTACTATTGAAATGTCAATTATCCCCGATCAAAACCCAAATATTCTCCCAATTACTCAATCCCCCAGGACCGATCATCCAAAAATACTCCCGCACTTCCAAAGGACTTATTTTTATTGATGCCCCCATATCTTTCACCCCCATTTATTTTTCATATTCCACGAGCTCGGTGAATCCAAATAAATCGCTCTAGCTTTCCGTCCTCTCACGGATTATTTCGTACACTTCACCAAGGAAAAATCAAATAGCGAGTGATTACTCATTGTCACTGCACCGAACAAGAGTACGATGTACAGGGGATGAAGAATTTCCTGATTTCAACGACGAAAAATCTCCCCGTGTCTCAAAAAAAAAAAAATAAAGCCGTTGAAGCCGACGGGGTGTCACAGGGGCAAAATTGCCCGCAGACTCTTGTCGCGTCCTGATAACGAAACGGTTGTATGAAGTGCTCTATGAAATAAGAGAGCACTATTATTCCCTCTCATTTTTATTTCTCCAATTTTTTACTCTCCTCTGTTCCACCCCCAGAATGAAAAAAAAAAACAATTCCACTTTATTTTTCGGGCTAGGGGTGTGTCTCTCGAGACATCCGTGTCGTTGCAACGATCGACGAGCGTCTCGAGAACGCAAAAAAAAAGGGTACGAAGGTCGACGAACGTACTATCTCTTATCAGTGTATGTGTGCCTGTCGTTACACCGAAAAAAAAGAGAGAGAAAAAAAAATCACGCGGTCTGAAGTTGGCTCGATGGTACTAATTAAAAAACGCCTCGCGCCGTGAAATTCAAAGTACCTCAGCGTGTCCTGACTCTCAGTTGTATTTTTTTTTTCCTCCCCTTTGCTTCCTTTAATTTAATTTTTTATCTCTACTTTATTTTTTCTCTCCAGGTTCAAGTTGGAAGTTGTACCCCGCGAGAGTCACCATTGGATGGAAATAAATGTAATTATCACTGCGGTCACGAACCACTATTTTTTGTCAGATCTCTCGTCTTGTTCTCCCCAACTTTTTCCAGATTTGTCTTTTTTTTCGATTATTAAATGCTGGGACAGTGATGTAGCGAATAAGTTTTGGGTTGAATTCCCTCTGAATAACGCGAGTCATTTAGTGCAAAGTAATTAAGACTGACCCGTTAACCCACTTTAGAAAAATGCATCGAATTGAGAGCGAAAATTAATGAATTCGGAAGTCATCAAATATTCTAGGAATAATGGAAACCAATCATTCTAATGATTAACAAATGAATGTAGAGAATGTTCTCTCCAAATTGATTAAATCTCCTGATTATTGAACAACTCTTAAATAAATTGTATCCGATTGAGAGTGCAAATAAATTAATTTGGAAAGTAATAATTAAAATCAATCATTGTGATTGGCAACTGAATGCAGAAAATGTTCTCTTAAAATTAATTAAAACTTCTGATTATTAAAAAACCATTAGAAAAATTGTATTCGATTGAGAGTGCAAATAAATTAATTTGAAAAGTGATAATTGATACCAATTATTGTGATTGGCAATTGAGGGAAGAGAATGTTCTCTTAAAATGGAGAAGAAAAGACTATCGAACCGGATAGAAATAATGGGAAATTTCAGGGAACCGAGACAATTTTTTCATTGCAACTCTGAAAATCTCGAGAGTACAAGATTCAAGGACTTAAATTCTCAATGGCTTTCTGAACGATACAAGAAAGTCCATTCAGATCCCTTGGTATTAGCCCAAAAGAAATCAAAGGCCATTGCTGAGAGAGATTTCTGTATATCAGCTACTCTCAATCGTCTGCATCTTCTCCATCTAACTCAACCCCAAAATCCCTCCACCGGTGCCTTTTTCTTACTCGGAAAATTCGATGAGACCACTGGTCCACGAGGAAAAAAAAGGTAACTGTGGCTGGGAAAATAGAAGAAAATCGTCTTACCTCTGTACTTTACGGAGGTTTATTGGGGCTGAGGAGAATTCCACGGGTTGAGAATAGTATTCCGGGGTTGAAGATCCATCTCCGCCATTTTTTTATGGTACAGAATGAAAAACTCGTACGAGTTTTTTTAAATTCCCACTGCTGCCACTTAACCTGAAACAATAAAAAAGAAATCGTTAATTTCCATTGATTTTTCCACATACTTAAAAATCTTCAATTACAATCTAAAAACTCGATATAATAATTAAAATTTGCTAACCGTAAATTTCATTGAGAAATTCTGAAATCATCGATTGAAAATGAAAATAATGGATTGAAAACAAAAATTTTTTGAACCGAGAGAAATGTGTAAATAACACGTGCCACCCTCGACAATTCGAAACTAAAAAAAAAAAGCCCCAAAGGGAATAAAACCGAATGCTAATTAACGCTGACGAAATACGTTGCTTGTTCCCCTTATGATTAACCGTGTGTCTCTCATTTTCCTTCAAATTTATTTCTACTTTTTCATTTTATTTTGTCCTTCAGGGAAACGAGAGACGAACTGACGCACGTCTGGGGCGTAACGAGTGCCATTCAATTGCACTCTTCGAACGCAAATTGGCAATTCTTTTTTTTCACTCTCACCTCACATTACAACGTATGCATTTCGTTAATTATCCAGTGAATAATTAAAAGATAATTAAAAGAACAACAGTGTGCACCTCATTAAATACCAGATAATAATTATCTAATAATTGTTTTATCGACTCTTCAAATTTTTAATAAATAAAATAAATCAAATCAACTTCAATTTCCTGACATTGGGACTTGAGGGATTGAGAGAGTTGAGATGAAGAGTCAAATCATCCCACGAAACAGCGTAAAATTTTTTTGAAATCATCGAAAATTGAGTGAATAAATAAAAAAAATTCTTACTTCAAGTAATTGAGATGTTTTTCTCTTAGACTCGGGGCACACGTATTTTTAATGCGACCAGAGAGCTAGCTGGAACACCTAACCAATCTTAGATACTGCAGAAAGACTTGACACAGACAAGCTCCGATCGACGTGAATTAATGTTCACAGATGATCGACTCAGAGCCATCACTTCGCATCGTTTGAGGAGAGTTCTTTAGTATTTTATATGATGAGATGAAGTCGAAGAAGCGAAATCAATTTTTCCCAGCGAAATTGAGATTTCTCAATTATTGAGAAATATTAATTCTCAAGGTTCTCTGCTCCTCTCCTTTTCCGGCTCCGCTCACTGTTGATCCGATCCGCGTAACTGAATTTTGTTCCAAAATTTCTCTAGGTATATCAACTCGCACGGACCTTGACGAGAGACCCCCCGCCGAGTTAAGTTTCTATTAAAATTCTTTCATCCCCATCCCCCACCACCGCGTTTTACGCCAATCACAAATTTTTGGTTTTGATCTCCCACCACCGAGTTTTCCACCAATCACAAATTTTTGGTTTTGATCTCCCACTACCGAGTTTTCCGCCAATCACAAATTTTTGGTTGTGATCTCCCACCACCGCGTTTTCTGCCAATCACAAATTTTTGGTTTTGATCTCCCACCACCGCGTTTTCCGTCAATCACAAATTTTTGGTTTTGATCTCCCACCACCGAGTTTTCCGCCAACCACAAATTTCTGCATCTCAGCCGTTGTGCACTAAAGTAACTGCAGTACCGGAGAAATTTTAGTCTTCGGAAAGCTTCGGACAGCGAAACATAAATTCTGGTGATGAGATGGCGGTGGGATGGAATAAAGCATCTTCTTGATTTCTCGATAACTAAAATTTCACCAGTACTTCACTTTGGTTCCTCAATAATCGGACAGATAGCGTTGTCTATATAACGGAATATTGTCAATGGATTTCGACCGTTGGTGTATCGTTTTGTGTTTACTTTTCGTTGGTTCTTTTTGAAAATAAAGATTGTAAGCGCTGACTCAGAAACTAACTCCTCAGACACGGAATGACTCTCGTTGGTGTCGCGACGCCTCTGAAAAGCACTTGTGTACTTGTAGTGCCTTTTGACCCGTATTCCTGTACTCGTAAATATAATCCCACGCGTACATTGCGTTTGTCTCGACAAAATAACCCCAAGCATCAAAAACAAAACCCTACGCTCTCCCATCCACTCCCGAAACCGTCGATTTTCGGTAAAAAATAAATAAAAACAAATCCAATAATAAATTTTTCGGGAACAATCTGTCGAATAAAAAGTGAAGTGAAATGTCAAACGCAAAATTTGTTATGAGTGGTTGATGAAGGAGAATGGAACAAATTGTTTCGACTTTCTGCCATTGCATGCGAAAAATCTCTCGTCATGGGCGTCACGCTGTCTGGCTTTTCAAGGACATTCGATGATTGAAAGATTATTGGATCTCATCCCATATCTGCGAATGGAATCGTCTTCGATACCACGCCCCAATCAATTTCCAACTTCACTACAGGTAGATTATTTTAAATTGCCTCAAATGAACAACTTGATTCGATATCTCACTATATGTTAACCTCGCAAATTATTAGATATATACAAAATATTTATCGCAAATAAATCCGCTCAATTCATTTTTTTATATCTCAAAATTAAAAAAATATTCAATTCCCTAAATTATCGAATAATAATAATTATTATTATAACGATAATATGTGATATAATACAATATTATTGTTATATGTAATTAGGAGAATTGAAGATATTTTGGGAGATATTAAAAAAAATCAATTGAACCAATTATAAATAATATATAATTCTCCAGATTGAATTAAAATAATCGATATATTTGGATTTTGGTTTTCCACTGTATAGTTTATCCGGAAATTAGCTGACCTGAGTAAAAAAAAAATTGTTTCCGTAACGTAATGGAAGTTTTTAACATCCTGAAACTTTTGACCCCATCGTTGGGTCACGTATCGGAGTAAATAGCAATCGAAAAGTTAGCTGAGGTTTTCGAAATGGATAGCAGTTCCTGAAAGCCAATAGCCAATGGGTGAACCTCATTGCCTCGAGTCTTTCTGCACCCGAAATAAACTAATTCTTCAAAGTAGGTTAATCCTTGTTATAAAACTCCACCGGAGGATTAATTATTAATTAATTCTTTCAACAAAGACGTTTTGACGAGGGATTTTCGCCGACGGTTATTGTGTTCTTTGCGTTAAAGCTTTTAATATTCTTACGTTTTCATGAATAAATAATGGAACTTGTAAAATGGTAGATCAATTTTTATGAAGTGCTCGTGAATTTATTGATGATTTTTTTTTCAAGAAATAAAGAGCAACTTTTGATTATTCAAGCTGTAGAAATTCTACAGCTCGAGTGAAACTAAAAAATATCCATTTGATTCGGGTCAAGCCCCAGAATTTCACCCTCCACGCCAGAAAAACCTCGTATTCCATGGAAAATGATACCAACGAAATCGACGCGAGCATAAAATCAACGAGAATTACCATGAAATACATTTGGGGCTTAGGATGTTGATATTTCATTTCCACTCAACAATTTTATCGAATACTCTTCCCACCCATTTTACCACTGATGTTTTCCAGCTTTTTCCCTCACTCCAATCGATTGCCACTTGACATTTGCACAGGATAGTGGGATAAATCCACGGGATGAATACGTAATAAATGACCGAGATGTAAAGATTCATGATGAAAACGACTTTATCCAATCCACACCGAGCCATTTTATTCTCATCGGCTTTATGCATACGGTTGCATATGGATGTGTCTGAATATCTCATGAGAATACCTCAATAACTCGCCTGGGTTCATACCAGCTGACGTTACAACCACAAATAATCGTACATAAACATTACGCAGCGTATGTTGCAAAAATTTACCGCAAAATCAATCCTCGTCTGACCTGACATCGACATGTTCCACTTATCAACTATAACTTTCATTTTTTCCCTCAAAATTGATGAAGACATCAAGAAAGTTGACAATTATGTCAAATAAATTTAATCTTTAAAAAATTCAGTGAAAACAATTATTTTGTGTATTGTTTAAATGGAAATTCTGTCAATTTAATATATTCCGGGGAATGCGTGATAAAATGAATGCCTTATAATTTCTGGTCTTTCGAGAGCTTTTCCAAAACTCACAATTAACGCGATATTTCGTAAATTTCAAACAGCCACATGTTTATCTTATCACGAGAAAATTGTAACTGTCAACTTTCTTGCGGTTAGTAAATATTATTGGCGAAAGGAATTTTTTCTCAATGTGTTGTTAGCGTTTGGTGAATACTCAACTGAAAAAGTTGACACTGCAACGATGGCAGAAGAGCGTGAACAGTTTGACAGAATGTTGAAAAAGCCATGGAAGCATACAGTGGAATTAAATTTTCGGTGGCTGTCATGATGCACTTCTCCATCAAATACACTCACCCACTTGATCAAAAATATTGTGTCCATATACTGCTCTATCTCACTGCGAGTATTTTAACAAATTGTGGATTCAACGGCGAATGAAATATAATACACTGGGGCGCATGTACATCGTGACGTGTGACTCGACCGACACTACATTATTTCAAAATGTTCCCGGTGTAATTAATGTCCACATTCCACTCCCAATAGTACAATTCACATCGTTGTTGAATAAATACTTTAAAGAAAAAAAAAACCGTGAATATTTTTCCCCAGAATTTACGACTTAAAAAAAATTGAAAAATCCTTGTGAGAAATGCACTTACCAAAATTCCCAAGGGAGTCTTATTCATTTGTAACTGCACCCTCTCCTGGAGGAAAAATAGCTCGAGCAAATAATTTTCTTTGCTGAAAGAATTAATCGCACATAAATATTCAACCAGAGAAAAAAAATCACAATGTGTTTTTCACTGTTGAGAGGGAGAGTAAAAAATGTGAATTACCATAGAATACAATTAAAAATCCCTGATAAATAAGCGCAAGCGTATGAACCCAAATAAAGCATGTACCTTAATTTACTAGTGAGGGGCCAAACGGTCGAACAGTGGAGTGCACAGGTGAGACATTAAACTGGGAAAATAATTAGCGAGAGGCAAATCCAAGAGTTCCCCACCAGGTCCAACACCTCTAACCATACGCCCTCTTCTCCTCGTACACTGTAATTGCGCGGTATTCAAGAGGATTCACTAATGAAATTTCGTATGATGAACTTGCGTTAATTCCACGCCAGCAGTGAAACAGATTTTGCACGAATGAATGGCTGTTTTCATCCCATTCTTTCATCCCTTTATATTCCCCCGTTCTCCCATAATCTCGCGAATATTTTTTTTTCCCTCCACTCCTGTCCGTTATTCTGGAGTGAGAAGGGACTGAGTGCCCGAGGGTTGATCACGTAGTGATCGTCATCGTTGTGGCTTGGGCGATTAGCAAGAAAACCGAGTTACGAAAAGCAAGTGAGGGGTTTTGGAGTGGGGAGAGTGGTGGCAAAACTTGGCCCATAAATTGTGAAATTTGAAATGGAAATTGCATCACGTTCACACGGTTACGACATAGAATCGACGGACTCTACCCAGTTTGGTATATGCAAGCCTACGCCGATCACGTACCATCCAACCATGGCAATCCTGCGTTCTGTTCCAGCGACCATTTCCTCCATCCACCAATTCATGTCTATCTCTCTTCATTTCATCTCGTCACGTTTGACGGTTTACATCCGCGACGGTTGGCACTCACACCTCTTGTGCCACCTGCGGCTTTTCAACTCCCAACGTCGAGCGACAATATCCCTAGATCTGTATGTACTGTGTACACAACAGTGATGAAAATAAAAATGACAAATCCTTTTGATGAAATTGGAAATTCCCCGGGGTTCTTTTTCGTTTTTTTTTTTTTTTGTACAATTTTATGCTGGTGTGTGTCGCGTGATTAATCGTTTGATGTTCGCGGATATTTCATTTTTTCAAATCGAGTATTTGATGTGATTCAAGTCGATTTCATCTCATTCAAGTTGGCAAGAAGAATCATTAGACAGATTCGTAAAGAGCTTGACAAGTATCAGCGATCATGTGAAACCTTGGTTATCAGTTTTCTCTTTCAGGAAATTATCGGTTGGAAATGGAGAGAAACGATAGGAGTCGTATGTAGTAAGAAAAAAATCGTTTATTTCCTCAAGGAATTAAAGCACCCGAGGGCATTTGAAATCGCTGACCTACGGTTCCTCTATCCTCGATCCTTCGACCCATTGGGAATTAAAAAAAAAACCCAATGCTCGATGGTCGCACAAAAGGACCTGTGAATGATTCGATCTGAGAGAAAAAAAAA